TACACAAACTGATACCTGGTATTGGGATCTGTTGGAATAGTCACCTAATGTGCATGTGAGACCATCAGCTTCAAAAGAGAATATTTTGTGGTAAGCTCCAGAATGGGAAAATGTCCCCATATGGACAGGAAAACTATGGCTACATTTGGTTACCTACTTGTCTTGCCTTCCTTCTGAATCTCAAAAGGCACCCAGAGCCTACGGCCACTCCCGACTGTATCATTCTCTCCAGGTATGGGTTTTCAGAATCTTCAATTTCAACTTCTACTTTGTCCCACAAGCTAGAGATCACCTCGCCTCATGCAGCTGCAGTACACTTCCAAGTGGGGCCAGTCCAGCTAGCCCATCTGGCTGCTCATTCCCAAACACTCTGGAGGTTGGCTTCTGTCTTGTGTTCCAGAAACTGTACCCCCCATCACCATTCTCTCCATGTCAAAAATAGCTCACAATCCTTGATCATTGTTGAGTTTACGTAAAGTTGCTTTTCACCATTTGTGATGGACAGCAACAACAACTTAGTTAGTTAGTTAGTTAGTTGGGTTATCCTCATTGCACTCCGGATATGTCCATAGGTGCTCAGATCCTTCCCTCAGTATGAACCCCAACGTCCGATGGCTAATAGTACCAGTTCTATGTTGATTAACAAGTCTTCTGGCGTGTCTGGTGTGCGTCTCGTTTTTTGCTGTGCCGATCTTAATTCCCAAGTCTGCCATTCTGGCGAGTGATGTGGATTCACTGCCACCAAAGTCCTCTATCCTTCCCATTTCTCTGAGGGCATTGATAATATCAGCATGATCCATAGGCTGACCGTCGGTAGTGATAGCGGATCCAGCCAACCTGTCAGCTCTTTCATTTCCATCGACGCCTGAGTTTTCCGGAACAAAAATAAAGGTGACTCCACGCACAGTAGCAACAACAACTTACTGTTGGAGATGACAAGTTCTGGAACAACATGATCACCCATGACAATCGTGTATATGTGTATGATTATAGTGTTGATGAGAATCCATGTATTTGTCTTCTTTGTCCTCATTGCAACTTTTTTTTCTTTTTAATTAGCGTTATATTTCCTCTAATCTATATTACTGATGAGGTTATTTCTGTATTTAAAAACTTTTTTTAAAAAGTATGTCTACTTTTTTTTTTTTTAATTAATAAAGAATCAATATCATTATAATATAATGTGATAATTTTTGTTATGTTCTCTATAGTAATGTGATAATTGTATGATATATTCTATGGTAATGTCACAATTGTGTGGTATTCTCTACAGCAATGTGATAATTGTGTGGTTTTCTTTGTAGTATTTTTCTAATTGTGATATGTTCTTTGTCTCTGCGTAATGTGATAATTATCTGGTGTTCTCTGCTGTAATGCAATAATTTTCTGATTTTTCCTCGCTGTAATGTGATAAATGTGTGGTTTTCTGTAGTGTAAAGTGATAACTCTGTGGTTTTTCTTACTTTGCATGACACTCTAGGCAGGTGGCTAGAGATCAAGCCATGCGGGATAATCCAGTGCAATGAAGTTGCATTCGAACACAAATTACTGAGGAAAATGTTGAAAATAAAATGGGATGAATATAAAAGGAGTGAAGAAATAGGAAAAATGTCTGGGCAACCGTTAGCATCAACAGTTATAAGACGGAGAAGATGGCGCTACAGTAGACACATCCTGAGAAGAAACCAGCAGAGAATCACCAAACATGAATTAAAATGGGAAATAAATGGATTAAAGAGGTAAGGACGCCCAAAAGAAACCCTAAAATGAACGTTGATGAGAGAGGCCAAGGGTGCTGGAATGGGTTCCCTCCATGACACTGATCTGATTACACAGGTTGGGATGGAATGAATGAATAAACTGCTAGCCCTATTTGACATATTATGTCACAATAAGATAATGAATGAAAGAGTGCAATGAAGTCGACACTCTTGACATTATCATTTAAAAAAAGTAAAGGACCCTTTTAGGCCTATAGGGCATGTAGGGCTAGACCTATATTTTATAGACCAATCGGTACAAGATGGGTGATGTGGTCAGCATCACGCCGGCCGTCTTTACTTCCTGGGACTGCACCCAGTACCCACTCAAGGCTGGGTCAACCTGTGAGCCTAGGTCATTTTTGAAGAAAAAAAGTCCAGCGTTTAGACGCTCAACTACGACAACTCCCATATAGTTTTTGTAATTAGCAATTTTGTAAAGTTACTTATTTTTCATTTTCCCTGTAGCAACATATGGATGTGAGTCGTGGACTATCTCACTGTCCTTACAAAAGAATATAGGGGTTAGAGCTGAAATGATATAGAAAGATTCTCAAAATACCATAGACAAAGAAATACTGACATCCTAAAAGATTTGAACATCAAGCAAGATTGGCTAATAAACAGCTTGTCTGATCTGATTTTATTTGATTCAAGAACCGACATCACAGCACTTGGGGCATCCCATAAGCACTCCGTCCCCATCTTCATCAGCCAGCGAAGAGTTCCGATACTAATGGTGCCAGAAGCATTCTGATTGTCTCAGAAGGAAAAATTGGCCATATAAAGTTTTGTGGCAGACTGGAAAAAATAGTAGCAAAAGGTGTGCTTCCGGGAAGGAAAGGGCAGGGTCCAACCAACATGAAGATAGGCACAAGATATAAGTGACTTTTTAAATATGAAAGTACACGAGGCAGGAGAGCTGAGGAGAGGCCGAGTTTTCTTTCAGGCAGACCGTGGTGGACCTGCTACATGATGATGATGATTTTTTCTAAACCAGTTACATTGTAAAGTTATGTTTGTATTCTTTGACTGTATCAGTGATATTGTAAAGTGACATTTTATTCTGATTCATCTGTCAGGGATGATACTGCTAAAAGTTTTACTTCTGTACTGCCAGATATTTTTGTGTATTTGTTGTTTTGTGACTGCCATGTTGATCTGTTGTGAAATGATAAATAAAGATGACTTTTAAACAATGTGTTCCTTCATTATTTTTTTATTTTTCATTTTCATTCTTGATAATGAAAAAATAAACAAATAACTTCTTGCTCCTCATCTTCTTCTTTTTCCTCCTCCTCATCTTCTTCTTCCTCATCATTTTCATCTTCTGAATCCTCGTCATCTTCTTTTTCTTCATCCTCATAATCTTTTTCTTCCTCGTCATTTTCTTCTTGGTCTTCCTCGTTATCTTCTTCTTCCTCGTCTTTTTCTTCTTGGTCTTCCTCGTTATCTTCTTCTTCCTTGTCTTCTTCTTATTCTTCTTCCTTGTGATCTTATTCTTCTTCATCCTCATAATCTTTTTCTTCCTCATCATCTTCTTCTTCTTCATCTTCATCATTTTCTTCTACTTCTTCCTCGTCATCTTCCTTATCCTCATCATCTTTCTATTCCTCATCATCTTCTTTTTCTGCATTATCTTCTTCTTTCTCAACATCTTCTTCCTCGTCATCTTCTTCTTCCTCGTAACCTTCTACTTCCTTGTCATCTTTTTCTTCCTCGTAACCTTCTTCTTCCTTGTCATCTTCTTCTTCCTCGTAACCTTCTTCTTCCTTGTCATCTTCTTCTTCCTCATCATCTTCTTCTTCTTCTTCCTCATCACCTTCTTCTTCCTGAACATCTTCTTCTTCCTCATCATCTTCGAGGCAGAAGATCTGGTGAGATATTGAGTTTCTTCCAGGTAGGCTGTGATGAGAGCAACATTCTGCAAAAAAAGCCTGCTACACTGTGATGAAAACCCTGATGAGTTGAACAGGCTATTGATGTGTAAACTACTACTACTACTACTACTACTACTACTACTACTACTACTACTACTACTACTACTACTACTACTACTACTACTACTACTACTAATACTACTACTGCTATTACTCTACTCACACACACACACACATATATATACACACACACACACAAATATATATATATAATTTCATAAAATGTGTAGGGGGCAGCTAAGGCGCCATCTCCTCCAGTATTTTCTTTGTGTTAGTGCACCAGCTTCAGGTAACAACTAGGACTGGGAAGAATCAATTAATCATCCAGGTGAGACAACCCAGGTGTCCATTGTCTACGTTTCGTCTATCACAACCCCTGCAAGGTAAAAAATGCGAAATATTCACATTCCGATCAGGTCAAATTTTCTTAACACAGCAAAAACAAAGATAATGCATACAAACAAAACTGCCATGGAGAAGGAAATATATGTTAATGAGGAAAGATTGGAAGTGGTGGAAAATTTCGAATATCTTGGGTCACTGGTTACCAACAATGTTGACACAATGAAAGAAATTAAACGGCGACTATCAATTGCTCTTCAAAGACTAAAACAACTGAATAAATTATGGAATTGTACAGATAGAATTACAAAGGTCAGATTTTTAAGAGCATGCATCTTTCCCATTGCAACATACGCCTGTGAGACCTGGACACTTACTAAACAAGCGGAACATATATAATGCATTTGAATATAAATGTTACAGACAGGTTCTAAGAATATCTTGGGTAAAGAAAAGAACAAATGCATCCATACTTCAAGAGCTGAATATTGAAGAGGGTTGGCTAGTAAAGACAATAAAACAAAGAAAATTGAAATATTTTGGTCACTTGAAACGTCATGGAGGTCTAGAGAGAACAATAATGGAGGGGTATATGCCTGGGAAGAGAGGAAGAGGAAGGCCAAGGAGAAGATGGGTGCAGGATGTGGCAGATGATCTCCAGATGGGTGTATCAGACGCAGGACATCTTGCTCATGATAGGAAGGTTTTCCGGAGGGTTGTTATGGCAGCGAGGTTCCGCGAGGGACATGCTACTGAATGAATGAATGATCAGGTCAAAGGTCACACAAACCGGAAACGATACTGTGCTGTCGTCTGCAATCAGTATCCTTGTCAAACGTAATTCAGTTCCTTAAATTTGTCTCCACATAAACATTTATTCTTACAGTTTAACTTTATTAACGGGACCAGAGAGACCGCTTATTCGAATCTCCAACATCTGCTGAACAAGAAAACTGCAATGGCGACGGATGAACTGGCAGCAAAGTTAAACAGGAGGAATTTAATTAACGAGGGTGAAGAAGGTAGTCCGGTGTTACCTTCTACAACCGTCTTTAACCCGTACACGGAGTTTAAGGAGTTCACCAGGAAACAGATTCAGGATTTTCAGAAAACTTTTAATAAGTAAGTTCATTTTATACAAGTTTCTTTTCTGTATTGTATTCTGTTTGTCTAATTAAAACAGACGACTAGTATTGTATTCATTAGACTGAACTCCTCGCCTAAGGAAGTGAAAGTACACTTCTACTACATTGTGATTCAGCATCCGTCCTAAGTAACTTACTTAGTGTAAGCCTGATTTAAATTTAAGCAACTAAATTAAAAACTAATTAAAGTGTTATTACTTGAATAATATGACAATAAGGTCGCATTCCTTCCTTATTCAGTGACCACCCCAAACCTAACGTCTCACTGTAGTGTGTCTGTCTACTGTCTTCTCTTGCCTTGTTATTTAACAATTACCTTCCTCATTTCTGTGATGACTAACCACAGTCCAGTGTCTACCTTAGGAAGTTACTGTACTGTGTAATATTGTTTAGTGCCCACCTTATTTCTTAGATTGACTGGCGAGTCAAAAGCTGTGGTATTCTGTCCATGATATTAAATGTCATTTTGGCCTTGATAGAATGGCAAGGGATGGCACAGATTTTGGGAAGTGAGACAGACCTCTGCAAAGATTTACGTAAGACATTGAAGATACGGTGACTGGGAAAGGGTATAAGGCTGGAGAATCGGCTAGAGAAAGGGAGACTTTCACCTGTGTCGTGAGGCCTTTGTGGTTTTTCGTTGGCACAGGAACGGAGCAACTATAGGGGGACCCCTTTGCTTTAAAGGTGGAACTGCGATTACCTGGTTACACTGATAAAAAAATATATCCTTACGTCCTTTTTAGGACGTAATTTTTTGTTATTTGAAGCCCCACTCTGGCTGTTGCCAGGGGCCGCAATATAGGCAGGCCATAAATATGGCCAATTGTCTGAACGTGGTTTCTGGGACCTCTTCACGGTGATCCTCATCCACATGGTGGCACTTTGTGTCATCGGGTGTTTGTCGCTTGTGTGATGTCCTGGTGGGGTAGAAATTCATTCATTCATTCATACCTGGTTACTGAGTTTGTTGTGTTGTGTGTTGTTCATCCACCATAGGTGATGATCACGTCCTTTCATCCATTCATAACTGGATTAGGTTTTGTGAGTGCGCAGATGGCTGATTAGGCTAGTTCTAGCACTGAAAGTTCTTGAGCAGTGTGGACAGGAAATTGAGGCTGCATCTCTCCGTTGATTTGCTTCATTGTCTTTCCTGACTTGTCTGATTCTTCTTCTTCTTTTGTCGTCTCACTGTTACCAGGTTGTAACCCAGTGTCGTCTCACTGTTACCAGGTTGTAACCCAGTGTCATCTCACTGTTACCAGGTTGTAACCCAGTGTCATCTCACTGTTACCAGGTTGTAACCCAGTGTCGTCTCACTGTTACCAGGTTGTAACCCAGTGTCGTCTCACTGTTACCAGGTTGTAACCCAGTGTCGTCTCACTGTTACCAGGTTGTAACCCAGTGTCGTCTCACTGTTACCAGGTTGTAGCCCAGTGTCGTCTCACTGTTACCAGGTTGTAACCCAGTGTCATCTCACTGTTACCAGGTTGTAACCCAGTGTCGTCTCACTGTTACCAGGTTGTAACCCAGTGTCGTCTCACTGTTACCAGGTTGTAACCCAGTGTCGTCTCACTGTTACCAGGTTGTAACCCAGTGTCGTCTCACTGTTACCAGGTTGTAACCCAGTGTCGTCTCACTGTTACCAGGTTGTAACCCAGTGTCGTCTCACTGTTACCAGGTTGTAACCCAGTGTCGTCTCACTGTTACCAGGTTGTAGCCCAGTGTCGTCTCACTGTTACCAGGTTGTAGCCCAGTGTCGTCTCACTGTTACCAGGTTGTAGCCCAGTGTCGTCTCACTGTTACCAGGTTGTAGCCCAGTGTCGTCTCACTGTTACCAGGTTGTAGCCCAGTGTCGTCTCACTGTTACCAGGTTGTAGCCCAGTGTCATCTCACTGTTACCAGGTTGTAGCCCAGTGTCGTCTCACTGTTACCAGGTTGTAGCCCAGTGTCGTCTCACTGTTACCAGGTTGTAGCCCAGTGTCGTCTCACTGTTACCAGGTTGTAGCCCAGTGTCGTCTCACTGAGACCAGGTTGTAGCCCAGTGTCGTCTCACTGTTACCAGGTTGTAACCCAGTGTCGTCACACTGTTACCAGGTTGTAACCCAGTGTGGTCTCACTGTTACCAGGTTGTAGCCCAGTGTCTTGGTTTTCTGTATTTGTCTTGCACTTCTCGGGTGGCTTGGGTGATGGATTTGTTCAACTTTTTGCACCATTTATCTATGTCTTTCTTGGTCTTCCTCTTGCCTTCCTCCCAGATGTTCTGCTGTGAATAGTCTCATACCTTATGTCTGATAACCAGGACTAATGGTAATGATGATATACATGACAGTGAGTTGTGGGACTTCCGGTCAAAATGGACGCCAGGCAAGGTCACTGTTTCGCGTCAAGGCACATTTTTTGCTTCTGCCAGATGGTGGCCGTTGCATTTTTGATCCATTTGTAGACTGAAAGGATATAGTTTCGTTGCCCAGCTACTGAGTTGAGTGCATGGCGCGACCCTGTGAGCTGCGGATTTCATTTGGAATGTTTTTCAACTGTGACCAATGTGGTGTTGTGAACTGTAGATTTAGAAAATGGTGCATGGCCTGTCCCGACAATATTGGTGGTGGCCTGTCCCGACAATATTGGTTGTGCCCTTATGTCATTAATATTGATCGCGTGTGCAACTGCTGATCTGTTGGTATCTTCTGCTACCGTCGATGATGAACTGCATTTCTAATGTCAGGCTGTTTGTGTTAGCACTTCTGATCTGATGGCTACCGTATGCTTTTAATGCGTATGTATGCTAGTGCATATGCTGAGACAGCAGTCTGTCAATCTCTCACAAGGAACTGTGACAAACATTCTGTGTGTCTTTCGTTGGCACAGGAGCGGAGCAACTATGGGGTGATCCGTTTGCTATGAAGCTGAAACTAAGGTTACCAAGTGAGTTGTGAATGTATCTCTGCCACTTCCAGGTACGATGTGGGTAAGGACAAGTTTATAGACCTGATGGAGCTGAAGCTGATGATGGAGAAACTAGGGGCCCCTCAGACTCACGTTTCTCTGAAGAACATGATCAAAGAAGTGGATGAAGACTTTGATGACAAGATTAGTTTTAGAGAGGTAGGTCCAGCTGTAAATGTGGGAAATGTGTGGGAGTAGGGCTAATGCTCTAATGCTGAAAAGCTGTTATTGTGGGAAATGTGTGGGAGTAGGGCTAATGCTCTAATGCTGAAAAGCTGTTATTGTGGGAAATGTGTGGGAGTTTTAGAGAGGTAGGTCCAGCTGTAAATGTGGGAAATGTGTGGGAGTAGGGCTAATGCTCTAATGCTGAAAAGCTGTTATTGTGGGAAATGTGTGGGAGTAGGGCTGATGCTCTAATGCTGAAAAGCTGTTATTGTGGGAAATGTGTGGGAGTAGGGCTGATGCTCTAATGCTGAAAAGCTGTTATTGTGGGAAATGTGTGGGAGTAGGGCTAATGCTCTAATGCTGAAAAGCTGCTAATGATGTGGGAAAGCTGTTATTGTGGGGAGTAGGGCTGATGCTCTAATGCTGAAAAGCTGTGGGAAATGTGTGGGAGATGTGGGAAATGTGTGGGAGTAGGGCTGATGCTCTAATGCTGAAAAGCTGTTGATGTGGGAAATGTGTGGGAGTAGGGCTGATGCTCTAATGCTGAAAAGCTGTTGATGTGGGAAATGTGTGGGAGTAGGGCTGATGCTCTAATGCTGAAAAGCTGTTGATGTGGGAAATGTGTGGGAGTAGGGCTGATGCTCTAATGCTGAAAAGCTGTTGATGTGGGAAATGTGTGGGAGTAGGGCTGATGCTCTAATGCTGAAAAGCTGTTGATGTGGGAAATGTGTGGGAGTAGGGCTGATGCTCTAATGCTGAAAAGCTGTTGATGTGGGAAATGTGTGGGAGTAGGGCTAATGCTCTAATGCTGAAAAGCTGTTATTGTGGGAAATGTGTGGGAGTAGGGCTGATGCTCTAATGCTGAAAAGCTGTTGATGTGGGAAATGTGTGGGAGTTTTAGAGAGCTAGGTCCAGCTGTTAATGTGGGAAATATGTGGGAGTAGGGCTAATGCTCTAATGCTGTAAAGCTGTTGATGTGGGAAATGTGTGGGAGTAGGTTCAGCGTTGACGAGCTGTTTAACATTCGCACCTTGAATGCTGAAAAAAAATTTTGGTCATAAACCCATGGGAACTTCCCCTCAAAATTCTTAAAAAAAAAAAAAATAGTTTACAAATTTGTTTATCTACATAATTTAATTTTGTGTGTGTGTGTGGGGGGGGGGTTGTAAGTTCGAAATGCACCAAAACCATCAACAAAGTAAACAATACTTGGTCGTGCTTAACAATATTCGGAAGTCAAAGGGAGCTTGTTTTTGTTTTCTTTCTTTTTCTTCTTCTTCTTCTTCTTCTTCTTCTTCTTTTTCTTCTTCTTCTTCTTCTTCTTCTTCTTCTTCTTCTTCTTAGCGTTTGTTGGCTGTAAACTCTGGCGAACAGTTCTGGTTGTTTGTCCACTTCTGGACAATAATCTTGTTCTAGAACTTATTTTATTTTTTTTTTTTTTTTTTTTTTTTGCATTTTCTGGCTGTAAACTCTAGTGGATTTAAGTGTTGTGTGCACATCATCTTCATTTTACAGGTCTGGCTTATTTGTGTGCAGACTTTTGGTTCCTTGCACTCTGGCTTTGATGAAAACACCCCTATTTAGTAGACTATTATGACATACTTGAGTCCAACACGCAAACATCTAACGGTCAAAACACCATATGTCTCCATCTAAGTCTGAAAAACTCCCTTAACACGTCCATTTTCTCCCCGCCCAGTGGGAACTCTGTGATTAGTGATGAGAAAAAATTATCATCACAGCACTCTGGACAGATCCATTAAAAGCTCCACAAGTGTATAACGACTGATGACGCCTGTTTTGTGTTGGTTAATGAAACGTCTTCTCCCCTAAGTGAAATGTTCATTCTTGCAGCTCCAAGCAGCACCCCCATGTCCATTAGTCTAGACCGGGATATGGAGTCATGTCCTTTGGCGTGCTCCTCAGTACGGTAAGTGCAGCACATAGCATTGATAACAATACTTCTGTCCAGTACTGAGCAATCATAGCAACCTCAGCAAGATAGTCTGTACGCTCGTTCCCTTGAACACCCGTATAACCTGGCACAAAGATGAAGGTTAGGGCAGATATTCTTGAAGTGCTTAGTGTTGCAATCTGTCTGTGCCTCTGGGAATCCTAGTTTCCGCTCGTCCATCCACACTTTCCTAGTCGGGAACTCCCGTGGGATGTTGAACACTGAGTTATTAAGCGGTCATCTAAGTACTAGTCTGTCATTCACCTATAATTGCCCCATAGCCACATAGGCTGTGGAAAGAGTGGGTATGTTCTCCCCCTTTCCCACAGTGGGGCCTCAGCACCCACGTGTGGAGAGAATCATTCAAGCGTACACAACATCAGGAACAAAGGACACAGTTGAGCTATATAACTAACAAGAATTGTTTCTTTCCAAATGCCAGTTTCTACTGATTTTTCGGAAGGCAGCAGCGGGAGAGCTACAGGAGGACAGTGGGCTGTATGATCTGTACAAGAACATGGAGGAGATAGATGTGGATGTCGAGGGTGTCAAAGGTGCTAAGAACTTCTTCCAAGCGAAGGTATGTGTCTACTAGAGTGCGTTGCGTATCCTTTACAGGACGTTGCAGAACCAACCCCAGCATTTGTTTGGCTGTTGTGGTTTTTCAAGGTGAATTTACGTCCAGTAGTTTGCCATTGCTTTCTGGACGGTCAGTTTCTCGATACCACTGTCGAAACCAACGCAAAGCACAGAGCCCACAGCTGGAATCGAACCCGGCATTACAAACCACGTTCACAACGCCTAAGCTACAGACGCAGACTATATTTTTCCGTTGCGTTTTCAAAATTGTGATATTGTGAAGGCCCTTTGGGAGCGAGTGAACAGTGCGGAGGACCAGATAGATCATTACGGTCTGAGGAGAATGGGGCTGCGAGGAGTTACCAGGGGATCTGGTCGACGCTCAACACTCCGGGGAAGGATGAGACGGATATACAATCAGACAGTTACTGGTACCATCAGAATTGGAACTCTTCGCTTGCTGCTGAAGATGGGGACTGAGCACTTATGGGAGTGTCCTGAGTGCTGTGATGTCGATTCAGCATTCAACGTTTTGTTTTCACAGTTCGCTCAGCTTAACATGGCCCAAACTTTACGGGTCGCTGATTGAATTACAACAGACAATAAAGTTCATACCAGAGACAATATTGCAGATATAGTTAATCTATTTCAAGTTGATGAAAGAAGAAGAAGAAGAACTTATCCTGGAGAAATGATTTTATTTATGTTAATATTTTATACATAAATTATATTTAGACAGCCCAGTTTTATCAGAACAGACGTTTTCTTTGTGCTCACACTTAAGTATTTGTGCTTTTGAAATACCAATGATATACATCATCTCCTAGCAGGTCCTTTGCAGAACGTCGCTCTCATCATGCTCTGCCTGAGAGAAAATGTATCTGATGAAAACTTCTCTCTCATGCACTTTCCAATTCAAATTCAAATTTGATAAACGAAAATTCTAAACTTGATCCTTTTTCAGCCGCCCGAAGGCCAACTATATGAAACAAGTTTTCTTCTCTTTGTTAGTCGCTTCAAATCCTTACGTCCTTTTCAGGACGTAATTTTTTTTTTATTTGAAGCCCCACTCTGGCTTTTGCCAGGGGCCGCAATATAGGCAGGCCATAAAAATGGCCAAATGTCTGAACGCGGTTTCTGGGACCTCTCCACGGTGATCCTCATCCACATGGTGGCACTTTGTGTCATCGGGTGTTTATCGCTTGTGTGATGTCCTAGTGGGGTAAAAAGTCACTCACTCACTCCTTCTCTATCTGATTCGGTGTTCTATTCTTTGTGGTGTTAAGTCACACCTGATATTCCTGTTCTTTGTCTTTTCCCCACTCAAGATGTTATTTATATCATGTGCCCTTCTTCATGCTGGTAACCTTCTGCCCCTCTTTCCTGGCTGCTTTTTTTCCATTCCGGGACACAATGGGAATGTAAGATCTGATAGATTGGCTGGATCCTCTATCACTACCCACCGTCAACCTATGGATCATGCTGATGTTATAAATGCCCTCCAAAAAATGGAAACGGATGGAGGACTTTGGGGGCAGTGAATCCATATCACTCGTCAGAATGATCACTCGCCAGAATGATAGACTTGGGAGTTAAGATCGGCATAGCAAAAAATTAGACACACACAGGGCACATCAGAGGGACTTGTTCATCAACATAGAACTGATACTATTAGACACCTGACACTGGGGTTGAAACTGAGGGGAGGATCTGAGGCCAGTCAAACAGGATCACAAACACCTAAGCATATTCTGCAGACCTGCCCACTTTGCCTACAACTTCGGAAAGACACCTGGCCTCAAGAGCAAAGTGTGCAGAGCAAGCTATGGGGAACCATGCAGGACCTGCTACTGACATGAGAGTTCATAGAGGCAACCCACCCGATGGTCTGATCTGAGCAAATGAAACCGAACACAAAGAAAAAGAAGAAGAACAAAAAATGGGATGAATTCAAGAGTACTGAATAAATAAGAGAAATATCTGGGCAACCACTAGTATCAACAGTTATAAGACAGAGAAGATGGCTGGGCAACCACTAGTATCAACAGTTATAAGACAGAGAAGATGGCTGGGCAACCACTAGTATCAACAGTTATAAGACAGAGAAGATGGCTGGGCAACCACTAGTATCAACAGTTATAAGACAGAGAAGATGGCGCTACATTGCACACACTCTGAGAACAGAGCAGCGGAGAATCACCAAACAGGCTAAGAAATAGGAAATAGAGGGATTAAGGAAACGTACCAGAGGAAAAGTCTGACCTGCGTTGGGTTATGATCACACTGGGCCGAGAGTGCAGAGGGTGCTACGGAGGTGAAAGTCCAACAGTTGATTCACGACAATTCAAGCCCAGGTGATGTGAGTATCTATACAGATGGTTCAGTGGTGAGGGGAAAGAGAAGTGCCCGGGGGTTTGTAGGGAAAGCCAACGGAAAATCTTTAATGCAAGACAGCCTAGCATATGAGATCACAATATCCAGCATGAGAATGGAGCTGGAGGTGGTAACTGCAGCTCTCCGGTGGCTAGAGAACAAGATGCATAAAAATGTCGTAATTGTAACAGACTCTAAAGGCATGCTGAGAAAGGTGAAGACATGGATGCTTCGAGCAGAGTGGCAAGCTTCACTAGAAAGGTCACCGGTAGTGAGCATACGTTGGGGAACTTTTTCTCCGTGCAATGTCAGCGTGGTGGGTAATGAACAGACAGACAGATTGGCTGAATCTGCACCACTGGGTGGTGAATTGATACATGACAAGGCAGATATGGTCAAGGCCCTTTGGGAACAAGCAACGGAATTAGTAGAGATAAAAGATTATTATGGCCTGGAAAGAATGAGGCACCTGGATGTAACCAAGGCACCTCGATGTAACCAAGGCACCTGGATGTAACCAAGGCACCCGGATGTAACCAGAGGGTCTTGCCGGCTCACTACAGTCAAAGGAAAGGCAAAACGGACATATAACCAGATTGTGACCGGTACCATCAGTATTGGAACTCTGCGCTGGCTGCTGAAGATGAGGACGGAACACACATGGGATTGCCATGAGTGCTGTGATGAAAACGTCCAAGAGAAACCCAAAGACGAACGCTGATTAGAGAGGCCAAAGGTACTGAATTGCATTCCTTTTATGATATCAAAGTGATTGCGCAGAATGGAACAGAATAGAAAAACAGACTGCTGCAAGCCCTTCTTCTTCTCTTCTGCCTTTCTAGCCCCCAATGGAGCATAGGCCCTCAACTAACTCACGCTAACTCACTCTGTCCTTGGTTGTTGTATGCAGCTCTCTCTCTGTGGTCCCAATCTTTTTAACTTCACTCTCTGGCTTCCTTCTCCATGTGTTTTATGGTCTTCCTTTGTTTCTGTGCAGCTGTGGGTTCCAGTGCAAAGACATTCTAGTTATCTTGTTCTCAGGTTTTCTCCGTGTGTCCTTTTCAAAGCCAGCGCCTCTTCCTCACCTCTTGGTCCAATAGAACTTGTTTAGTTCTTTCCCACGCAAGCCCTATGTGACATGTAATGGCATAACAGGATAAATGAATGAACATTGTTGATGCTGTCATTATGTAAATTCCATGATTGTGTGAATTCCATGATTGTGTCTGATTTTTCACAGATTGAGAAGCAATCAGAAAGTTGTAAATTTGAACGTGAAATCCGTGAAGAGCAAGAAGAAAAGAAACGACAAGCCGAAGAAGCAAAAGAAAGAAAGAAAGCTTTCAAGGAGAAAGCACAGGTGTTTAAAAATTAGGACTTCGATTTTTATCATAAAATGCAGCATAGGAGTATTTGTTCCGCAAACATTTTTGTTCCGGATATAAGATTATACATTTTAATAAACATATATCAAGAATGTAACATTACAGCCTAAAAGGTTTGCTAATTTTACTGTCAATTTTAATGCAGAGTTAAACTTTTTATAAGAAATGTATTCACAGAAAGAACAACAGTTTTTATTTGATAAGTGTTTCAGTTAAAATCTTGTTACATATTTCCAGACATAAGATTATACATTTTGTTAAACATATGTGAAGAATGCTAATTGTAAATTAATGTAATTTAAAAAAAAATTTTGATGGATGTGCTAATTGTTCTACAAATTTTGGTACAGAAATTAAACTTTTGCTAATGAATGTAAAATCTACAAGGAGATGTAAAGGGAAGCAACCTTTTCCACTTCTTTAGGCAGTTAGGGCATACAGTGCTAAACCGAAATTTTATAGACCAATTGGCAGTCAGTGGTTAATGTCTGTCTGCCTTTACTTCCCAGGACTTTACCTGGTACCCATTTTTGGCTGGGTCAACCTGGGAGCCACGGTCATATTCTGTAAAATCTGGCTTGATGCAAATTTGAACTCATGGCCTTCGGGTCGTGGCGAGCTTCAAGCTGCAACACCACAGTGGATCCCTTGTCGGCGGCCTTTACTTCCCAGGACTTAACCTGGTAACCATTTTAGGCTGGGTCGACATGGGAGCCTAGGTTGTTTTTGAAAAAATCTGACTTAATGTGGATTTAAACCTAAGACCTTAGGACTTGCAGGTGAGCATTACGGAAAACATGCAAGTTTTTATTGGATAAATATTACTGTTGCAACCTGTATGTTAACACCTTGTTACATAATACCTTGAGAGCTTACATCTTTTAGTAAATGTAACTTTATACAAACATTCACTGCAGACTTTTTATATAGTAATGAATTCTCTTTTACAAGATTTTACCATATGTTAACATTTTCAGCACTGCCTAGTGTTTAACACATAGAAAACTCTGTTACTTTAATAAGAAGAACTCCACGGGGTAGCATGTACAGCAGGAGTCCACCGATCATCAGTAGAAGATCCCTCGTTGACAATTGTTTCGGCCCGTTAACTCCTAAACAATTTCAGAGCGTGGGCCAACCTGGGTCATGACTCCCAGGCCTTGATCTTCTCCTACTGCACTTTAATGGTTGTTCTCGGACAGGGACAAGACGAAATGGTGACTATGCAACGATGTGAGATTCA